CCCGAATTTTGAACCCAACGGATTTTTTTTGCCCGACCCGACCGCCGCCTGATTTTTGCCCAAAAATTCAAATCCAACGGCTATTTTTCTTACCGTTGCCCGAATAGCCCGAATTTTTCCCGACCCGATCCGAGTGCCTGAATTCTACTAGCCGTTGGAACCTAATTTTTGGGGGAAAATATATTTTTTTCAAGCCAAAAAATTTTCTATAAATACCCCCCCTCCCCTAACCATTTTCCTCACCCAAAAACTCTCATTCTCTCTCAATTTCTCACAATCTCTCTCAAATCTCTCTCAATCTCTCTTAATCTCTCTTAATCTCTCTCAAATCTCTCTCAAATCTCTCTTAATCTCGCTTAAATCTCTCTCAATCTCTCTTAATCTCTCTCAAAGCGCTCTCAATCTCTCTTATTTTTCATATTGGCTTCTTTTGAATATGGTGGTGATATTCCCATTGGTGCCCAATTCAACATCGAAGAAGAGTATTTCCTAATGTTTTTCAAACGCAAGAATCTCAAACTACGGAAAGAGTTGCTGAGGAAACTGTAAATCCAAGCCCTAGTGGACGTATTAGAGGTCGTGAACGTAATGGTGGTGACACTGGTGGGTGTGGAGGAGAGGCAAGCGGTAGTGCTAGTGCAAGTGTTGCAAGTTCTAAGAAGAAATGCAAGCGCACCTCAACAGTTTGGGAGCACTTCAACACATTCGAGCAGCTCGACAATAACGGTAACATTAAATACATAGCTCAATGTAAATATTATGGTGATAAATTACAAGGTAACACTATTCACGGCACTACACACTTGAGAAGACACTCTGAAAAGTGTCTTCAAAAGTAAGGAGGCGGAGCCGATCTCCGCCAAACACAATTATCGTTTGACTGCCAAACCCACGGTCTAAGCACGTGAAAATACAATCCGCAAGTTGATCGTATAGAAATGGCACGATTAGTAGCCATATTAGATCAACCACTTAGTTTTACTAAACAAAGAAATTGGCAGCGTTATATTAAAATTGTACATAATCCTAATGCACAATTTTTTTCTAGAACTACTCTTTGGAAAGATGCATTAAAATTATATAAACAAGAAAAAGAAGCATTAATAAACCTTTTACACTCTACTAGTGGTTGCGTTGTGTTAACGGTGAATATTTGGTCTGCCGTTGCCAACAAAGATTATTTAGCTATAACCGGACATTATTATAAAGGTTTTGACTTGGATAAGAGAATCTTAGGTTTTAAATGTGTTATAGGATCACATACTACCAATTTAATATATAACACCATTTTATCTATCATTGATGAATATAGTTTAAGAGATAGAATAATGGCCATAACATTAGATAATGCAACTGCAAATACTAAAGCAATAGAACTTTTTGAAAATGATTTAAATTTATTCGGTAATAATGATATATTTCACCAATGTTGTGCATGTCATATAACTAATTTAATAGTAAAATCCGGTTTAAAATCAATGTCATGTCATATTAAAAGAATTAGAGATAACATTGCTTGGATTTAAGGTAGTAATAAAAAAAAATACAAGATTGGTTTAGATTTCTACAGGCATGTAATCAAAATCCTAAAGCATTAGCCTTAGATATGCCCATAAGATAGAACTCCACTTATATAATGCTTGAACAATGCATCCCCTATAAAGATGCTATAACAAATTATGTTAGTGCAAAATTAGGACTAGGATTTATAGATGAAACTGATTGACAAGTTCCCAAACTCTTGTTTAACTTTTTAGGTAGATTTCACAAAGTTACCTTAAAGCTTAGTGGAACTTATTACCCAACGTCACCATTAGCGTTAGGAGAACTTTTAAGAATGTCTATTTTATTTAGTGAATTTAGGACACACGAGATTTTAGGAGTTCCAATCGCCTCTATGGAAAAGAAGTTTTAAAAAAATTGGTCTAAATTACCCATGTTGTATGGTTTCAGTGTTATTTTCGACCCTAGATTAAAATTAGAAGGTTTAGAAAGTGGATTAGATAACTTAGGTGAATTTTTAGCTATCGACAATACTGACCAATTTCCTATTATAAAGGACTAAATATTTTCTTTATATAGTTCTTATGAAAGTAGGTTTAGAAACACACCTCGTGTTGAACAACCGCAACAACGAGACGACAATCTGCATTCATTCTTGAATGTTTTCGGGTTGTCTAAAAAGAAGAAGAAGATGACGATGACGACTCAAGGTCAAGAAGAATCTGGGAGTGGATCTTCATCAAGAGGTGGCGGCAACAGTGGCAGTTTCAACGAGTTAATGACGTACCTGAGTGATGGCTTAGTTGTAGACAGTACTGAAATGTTTGATTTGGTTCAGTGGTGGTGGGCACGAGCATTAACTTGGCCGATCCTAACACGACTGGCAATTGATATTTTTTCGATCCCGGTCTCCACTATTGCAGCCGAACAAGCATTCAGTACAACCGGCCGAATACTTGAAGAACGGAGAAACGCATTGCAACAGGGTAGTGTTAAAGCTTTGGTGTGCATCAAGGATTGGGATCGTTCCGACCAATGCTTACACGATACAATCTCACCGGCAAGCCAATAATGGATTGATGAATTTAATAAATTAACTTTTAATTTTCAAGACGATCCTTCTGTTTCAAATTAAATTTTATTATTATAATTTGTTATCAAGTTTTTATCCCAATTGGGTTTTTCTTGGTAAGGTTTTTAACAAGACAATCATGAATTACAAATTTAAAAATCAATAAAGAAATAATTTTTTTTATACAGTTCGTGTGTTTATTTCAAATTTCAAATTGTAATATATATATATATATATAAATATAATAAAAAAAATATTAAAATTTTCAGGCAGTTTGGTCGGGCAACGGGCAGCCCGACCGGGCACGAGCAGTCGAAGCCTGTCCATGGGGAAATTTGGGTCGGGTTGGGCAGCCCAAATTTTCGGGCAGTTTGGGCTCGGTAATCGGGTAAAACTTCAAACTTTTCGGTGGTCGCGAGCGACCTGTCCAAAGTTTCAGCACTAGCTGCAGCGGGAAAACACCCGCTGTAGCAGAAATTCTGTAGAAAAATAGTATTTTCATGAGGTTATGTGATCTGAAACGTCTCTAATCATTACATCCATTGGTGATATTTTTTCATACATATCTGCACACCAATTAGCAATAGATATAACTATTATAATAAGTGTATTAATCCCTAAAAAGATACCTTTACATTGAAAATGTACCTTTATGTGAATGGTTGTAATGTTTAAATATGATGCATTCATTCATGAAGTGGCACCTCTGTCTTTATTAATTTTCTAGAAAATTTACAGACTTAATTAAATGTTCTAAAACTTAATATTATTGCTTGATATTGTGTTTAAGGGTTTATTGTATCTTGAAGGTAATTTGCCATTAAAATTCATTAGCAAACTTTGAGAAGTGAGGGTAAATAAAATCTTAAAGGAAAGCATTTCTATACGCCCAAAACCCTCTCTTATTTTATGCATTATTTTCACCTTCTACACTCAAATTCTCCAATATGGACGGTGGGATATTGTGTGGGGATGGGTCACATGTTTAACTGTGAAAGCTGATTAGGGTTTGGGGTTTTTTTTTTTTTTTTTGTCAGCAACCGCAAGTAAAGCCAAGAGGAAGAAGAAGACCTTTTTGAGGTTTTTTTTTTATTTTTTTATCGACTTTAACCTATCAAGCTTTTTCTTTTTCCTTTTCATTATTATTTTTTTTATTATTCTTTATTATTTTCTTAACGTAATCATTTTAATAAAGTTAAACGGCATGACAAGTTGGTGATTTTGTTAAAATTATAAATAGAAATAAACGGAGGGGTATTTTAAATGGTTTTCTGTAAATTAGGATATGTTTTGAATTTTTTTACAAAATTAGAGACTTAAGAAACGTTTAGTTTATAGATTAGAATCATGAGATTATAACTATTTTTGATTTATTTGTATTTTTTATGAGAGAAAACAATATAACTAACTATGAACCATGATTCAAATCATAGTATGAATTCCCTTACTAAACGTCTCCTTACATATTTTACGAGGCATTTATAAAAATAATTTTCATTTTTTAATACCTGTGAAAAACGTTGTCGTTTTGGAGCTTTTGTGGATGGGGTTGGATGGGTGGAATTTGGCCAAAATTTGCCAACCTCCTCTTCAGTTCTTTCGTTCGACAAAACTCCTAAAACTCATCCGTGCGCCGTTCGTCGCAAACGCCTCAGCCTCCGTTCGCCGCCGCCCCCTCTCTTGTGCCGTTCGTTCGGCCAGCCTTCCAATCCTCGCCGTCACGCTGTGGGTGAAGCCGTGAAGGTTAGTTCCTTTCAACTTTCTCTGTCAGAATGTTTAATAAGATTGGTAGTTTAGTAGTTTACAAAGGAAAGTGAAAGAAAATTGTTGAGATTGAGAATGTGCTCTGCGGTTCTTTGGGAATTTATGTTCTTTGCAAGGAAAGTGAAAGAAAATGGTGGAGATTGAGAATGTGCTCTGCGGTTCTTTGGGAATTTATGTTCTTTGCAAGCTAAGTGAAAGAAAATGGTGGATATTGACAATGTGCTCTGGGGTTCTTTGGGAATTTGTGTTCTTTGCAAGGAAAGTGAAAGAAAATGGATTGAAACTGGAAGTTGTGCACAGAATCGGAAACTACTGTAATTTGTATCTTTTGGTTTAGTTTGCTTCAATTGATTCCTTCGTTTGCGTTCTTTTTGTTTAACTTCTGTTGTTATATCATATGGTTCAGAATCGGAAAGAACAGATTAGACTTGAAAGGGTCCTGTTTGGTTGGCTCAATACCGCCAGGTTACAAAATCGATCACCGGCGGTCAGTTAAACCAGCCGAAACTTGTCCCGGCGTTTCGGTTTCGGTTCCACATTTCTGAAAACCGGACAAATCGGTTCGGCGGCGGAACCGACGGTTTTAAGCCGATGAGCAGTCATGTTTACAGATACAGATGCCTTCCATTGTTAGTAGTGTTTTCTCTCTCTTAAATTATGTTTCTGCTGTTGATGTGGTGGTTCTCTGCTATATCATCAAATGTAGTAGCAAGCAGCTCTTTCATCATAACTAATTCTTGTTGTTCACATGATTGTTGTGTTTGTATGTTGCTCTTGTAGGCAACATATTTGACGAGAATATTACAATAGACAACAAACTTATAAAGTCAAGCAGGTAGAGTATATTCAAAGATCCTGTTAATCTACTGGAAATTCATGTGCAGTGACAGAAGCTAATCCATGCTTGGCCCTGTTTCTGCAGATGGCCTTGTACGCGATCATATGCAGACCCAGTGCAGGCTTTTGAAGACCAGAACAGCAGTGAATCGGTCACTATTAATGAGACCTTTTCTAACATCTCAAATGGGAAGCACCTTCCGAAGAAGAATGGTTAAGTATAGTTCTCAAATTTTCTCCCCCATTCTTGTAAAATCTTGTACAATAAATGCTATGATGAGATAAACTAGAATTAGGAAACGGACATGAGCTTGCAATGTCTTCTAGAGATGTCAAAAGGCCCGTGCCGGGCTGGCACGGCCCTTCTAATCCCAGGCCCGTGGCGGGTTTGGGCCGGTCTGGCACGACCCTGCACAAGGCCGGGCCTGAGGAGAAACCCTCAAACCCAACACTGGCTCTCGGCCCTAGTCCATAAGGGCCAGAGCTAGGCCCGGGCCCAGGCCCTTCACAGGCCGGCCCATGCCATTTTATTTATTTTTACAATATTAATTAAAAATATATATATCACATACCCTCAAAAGATGTGATTTTATTGAATTGAGATAATACGAATAAATACACATAAATGACTGCCTCGTTAAAAACATTGTCAAGTAAAACTCGTGGGGAGATCGGGCAAAACCTTAGCGAAGGAAAAAATAGTGCAGTATTCTAAAATGGCAAATTACACTGTTGAAGAATTGCTTCTAGAAGATTCTGTTATGTATAAGTTTGAAAAATATTCTTGAATTGAATCATCTGTAGTGTTGTTTTCGTCTTCTAGCATCTTTCTAGTCTTTAACGCACATTAGCCCCTCCAAGATATCCGGATACATTCTGCTCTTCTCGTCAAGAATTCAGTTTGTTGCACTAAATGCTTGCTTCGATGCTACCGTTGAGACTGGAGTTGTCAGAATGTCACGTACTATTATGGACAATGTTCGAAAACGATTGGTCTTTGTTCATCCACCACTGTAAGATGTCCAGTTTGTCATCATCAATTACAAAATTTGATTCAAAATATTTCACTAACTCGGTAGACGTTTGTGTTGATGACGATCTTGACACTTTCTCTGTCTTCTTAAGAAGCTCCACAATGAACCTTTGGGTCTCGAACTGCTTCTTGTCGTCAAAGTTCCCTGTTCTTTTGACCTAATCCGTATTTTACTTCATACAAATCAAATAATAATTCTAACATTTTCCTAGCTTCGGCAATAGTTAGTTGCATATCAATACCTAAATTTTCTGCCGTAGTAGACATCAAAGATTATGTCTCATCTAATCCGCATCTACTATCTAAAATGGTTGCTAATGCATATAACATATGACAGCTAACCCAATAATTTTTAAACTTAGCTTCCATTAGCTTAACTATCATTCTAAAAAGTTCAGTATCCTTATATAAGAAAATATTTCTGAAATATTAAATAGTTGATGCAAAGGTAAATGTGCAGTAGGATAATAAACTCTAAAAAGTAATTCAGTTGCATTGTAGAAAACTTTTAAAAATTTCAAAAAGTACTCACCAATTTTTCACTCTGTATCGAAAATTAAATGCTCACCGTGCTTACTGTTCATGTACGTTGTGATGATCTGTTGATACAGAAGTGTAGTCTTCAACATTAAGTAGGTGGAGTTCCACCTATATCTCACATCAATTGGAAACTTTCTTAGGGACGTCTGATTGTTCTTGTAATATTGTTAGAATTCTTGGAGCCGAGCTCTAGAACTAGATATGGAGGATAAAGATTCTCTAATATTTGTCAGATGAGAGGAAATATGTTCAATTCCTGCTTGTATTTATTTGTGACACACACTTCGTTGATGAAAAATTTCTCCACCAAAAGGCAGTTTCAAATTAAGTTTAAACATGTTAATTGCAATCCTTAGCTAACGCATTATAAAAAATAATAGTTAAAATTTTATATTCTATCTCGTAAAACTTAAAAATTTTCATTATTGTTCCAAAAATAGCGTTTGCGTTATGAGGAAATGGACATAAACGACAACTTTTTATTCTCTTTTGTAAAACCCATTCCTCGTCGACAAAATGTGCTGTGACGCATAAATATCTAATTTTATTACACGCCTCTCAAATATCAGAAGTACAAGATATAGTAGCATTAAAAGACCTAAAATTATTAACTAGAGATTGTCTAATTACATAAAACATTTTCATGCAATCAGAACGAGTTGTGTTTCTACTACCTGTTTAACTTGCAGGCAGAATGCCGTCTGTATGAATTCTTCAACCGCCACATCATTTGCAAACGAAAAAGTTAATTCGACGCTAGCTAAAAATTTAGCTAGTATCGCACGAGCACGTTGTGCATTGTATGTAAAATTTTGCAACCCTTGTGACGTGAGTGATAGTGTTTGTTGGCAGGAGTCTACACACCCACCATGGTGCAACGGCATACGTGCTTTTCAATATCTATTCAGATGACCAGTACCCCCGCCATTTTTATTAGAAAAGTGATTTTTACAATATTTACATACCGAATGAATTTTCATTTCACCTGTTTTTAGATTTGGTCGGGACTTCTCTGTGACATGCTGCCATGCGGGAGCAGTTCACGGTCTTTTTCCCTTGCTACATTCTCCAACTTCCTCGTTGTACACTGAAGCATTATCAACCGGAACAGTTTCTGGTTCAATGGGATTGGAGTTGTGGGCCAACATTTCATCCTTGTAAAATGGCTCATCACTAAGCTCAGAGAACATAGCGAGATCAGGGAAGCGTGGTGGGAAGGCGGATCGTGTATAATAAAAATTTTCACAAAACTTTTGAGATACTCTATAGATTATATTAATTTATGCACGAATAAATTAATCACATTAATTTATATGTCAAGAACTCAATTAGGAAAATACCTGGAAGCCGACTCGGATTATAACTTGAGTTCTTTGACCACGAACAGTCCTTGCTCCAATCTTTGTGTTTAGAAAACTAAAGTCTTCCATGTCAATTTCTTGATTCCACGTAGACGTGTGTGTGGGCACACGTGAGACAAAACTGGTTTTAAAAAACACTCGAATTTCCACAAATACCAACGCATGCACGATGTGAAATTTTTAGGAGAAAATTTTTTCCTCTCTCTTTATGTTGAGAATTTCGGCCACACTAACTAATTAGGGCAGAAAAATGTTTTCTAAAATTGTATTCACAATTTTCTATCATTCTCATATTTAAAGAGTATAAGTCAAACTTTAAAAAAGAATCAAATCTCTATCTTCTATTTGAATTTGGAACAAAAAATCTCCTACACCTTATCTTTTAAGTGGCCGGCCACCCTAGGATTTTTCATCCCTGTGTGTGGCGCCAATTGCAGATAGGGAAGGAAGAGAAAATCATCATTTATCCTGTAGTCCAATTTTAATTCAAATTCAAATTCGAATTTAAGTCAAACTTAAATTAATTTGAATTCTAAATTGAACAACTTATCAAATAAGTTTAAAATGATAAATTTAAATTATGTTCACAATTCAAATTCAAATTTAAATAATCACATTATTTAAATAATAATTAATTCTAAATTAATTATTTTTTGAGTATTTAATTTTAGAATTCTGTAATTCTAAAATTCCCATTTTATCCTTTGTGTCTGGTAGAATTACAAGGACGACGCGGGGACTTATGGACCTATAATCTCGAGCTCCAATAAAATTAATAATTAATTAAACACTTTAATTAATTAATTAATTCTATTAATTCTAATAGTTACTCCACTATAAACTTGGAATTGAACTCTCGAAATTATAGACATTAATTACTTCTAAACTGTGAAGTGTCCATTTGATATAGTCATTGCATATAGATCAATCCTCCATAAATAATTCATAATTAGAGTCAGGTAGAATCCGTTAACCTCTCTAATTATATCTGCATCCTTGAGTACCTTTGACTCTCTAATGGATAGTGATTCATAAAACACATTCATGAATCAGAGCGCTCTTACTAATCCAAGTACCGAATCAACACTCACGAGAATTATTTATCTTCTTCTTTCTCAAGAAGGAATGGATTCCATCTCGTATAATAACATTATCGGCTACCTATTTCATCATGTCTCCAAAATATAAGGAATAGTATTCAGGGTCTCAGAATCCGTACCGAGTAAATCAAAAGACATAAATCCATAAATAGGAGTTTGTTAAGAACTCAGGATTAAGAACATTCTATATATGACCATCGGTAGACTCAATTAGAATTTCTATGCTTAACGGAAATTATTAGAAATTCATATTGTGTTTGTGTCACTGTTCCACTCAATCTCATTATGCGAAATACACTCATTCAATATCTCACCATATTAACAGTGCAGATAGCACCGTTCCATTCTAAATGGGTATGACATGTATTAATAATGTTTTAATTAAAGATTCTAAACTTTAATTAAATTCATTATTAACAATGTTTTTTATTATTATCGTCAAACAATATCCTCTCGTGTATAACACTTATATACTATGTTTAAGGTTACATAAATAATCACGGAATTTTTATTTAATATTCATAAAATATTCATAAATATATGCACATAAAATGATGAATAAATTATTTTATTATTTAAATAATAAATATCTTATTACATCTTATGCTTTTAGGACACTATTCCCAACACTTGATACTTTGGGTACGAAATAAACTATCAATTTAGATACGTAGTGGGTCTTTTTCACTACGCATAACTATTTTATTTTATATTTTGATAATCTGAACTATTAGATTTTTATCAAGGTTTGTTTCATTTATCTTACTGATAGAGTTTGATTTCATATCTTATCACAAAGCTCTCTTTTTCCGTTTTCCTTTTTGTCCCTACAAGTTGTATGTTGCATCTTTCACAACTGTTATACATAGTTGTATTCATGTCCTTAAAATGACGGTCATTTCTCAGTGGAAGATTTAGCACTCAAATACGGAGGAATCTCTTTCTTTAGCTTAATGGATAATCGGGTTGCGCTGATGGCTAGAGAAATCTGAATCAAGCAAGCATTGTAGTGGTTGATAGTCTCATCTTTCAAAGATTTTTCGTTTTGAGAAACCTTTATTTGATGGATTTTTCGCACATTTACTCCCTAAACTTGTCTTGGTTTAGTAAATTGTCCCTCAATCTCTTAATTTTAATAAGTTAGCTCCTCAACTTGTAAATTTGTTGCAATACGCCTTGTTGACGGTGAAATTTCGTCAATAAGATTATGCCGGACTACCACTCGGTAGTCCGTCGAGTTACCAGTCAAAGCTGATTATATTATCGAGAAAGTGCAACTGGTTATACTTGTCTTCAAGGTATTTTGAGGTGGTATGGATTTGTCACTCAATGAAAAGAACACACGAGGTTATAGTAGTTCACTCTATAACAAAAGAGATACATCCACTTGTTATTGTATTTTCCTTTCTTCCTTCAATTGTTACAGAATTAGCCTCTCTCTTCTCTCTGGGACATTTTCCCTTTTATATCTCACAGATTACATATGGGGCGGACTGTGACAGGAGGTTCTCTGAAGGTTTCTCTCGAGTAGCCTATTATCCTACTTGCCTAGAACGTAGCCTCTCTGCACCTTTTGAGCTGTTCACTCACTCACTTCGTCCACTATTGCGGCTATGCGGATCTTCCGTGATTTCCATTGGTCCGTTTTAGGTGGTTTATGGGCAGGTAATCATTCTCTGTGCTACTGACCTTCTCTAAATCCAGAAGTAACCTAGGGATTTCTCCCTTGTCACCTCAGAGGTTATTCTTGGGATGTGGTCTAAACTTAAACATCCTGCCCTCTGCGTCTATATTATATTTCACAAGCCGCGGTCTCTATCCCGGTCGATCCTCCTGCGGTACCGCTGCCATAATGCCTTTCAAATCCTCCTAGCCATTATCCTACTGCAATAATTCTTGCTAAGAAGAATGCCCATGTTGTGGCAATTCCACCCAGAAGGTAATGGGTTACTCCTACAGCACGTCCTTGGACAATGCTCAAGGCTCTAGGCTGGTCTGCAAAGAACGAATCATGTAGGCCTCGACTGCATGTAGGGTCGACAGTTGCATGAATTGTCTCATACGATCAGCCGTTTCACAATTGGGGGAGGGGAAAATGAGCTTTAGACGTCGACCGCTGTCTGACGTGGCGGGTGAGGGCCACGGGGAGCTTGGTTGTCGTCCGACGTGTCAAAGCATATTTTCCCACACAACACGCCTCATTTTAAATTAGTGTCAAAAAAGCACGTTAAGCAAAAAATTTCAACATCCCAATACAAATGCAGCACAAATCTTTCAATATCTCAACTTTTAATATTTTAAATCTAATAAAAAATTTGAGAAAATTTAGTTAAATGGGATACATTGCATTAAATTTATAAGTTTGGGGGGCAACTTACTAAAATTAAAAGTTTAGGGGGTATTTTGCTAAATCATGACAAGTTTAGGGAGTAATATTTGTGTCAAAAACCCATTACTTGATAGTAGAATGATGACGCTGAAAATACACTACTAGAAATACAAGGTATAATCGTTTTAGTTTTGCCTTTACAGATGGCTAAACTGTGGAAGAACCAATGAGAGATTGTTTGTACTGCTTTGGAAGAAGCAATCCGATGGTTCCTTTCTGTTGTTTCTTGTGTTATGATTGCAGATTGCTTATTAAGTTATTGATGAATTCCCATTATTCTCTCATAAAAGGAAAAGATTATCTACCTGAGGTTTAATATATATATATATATATATATATATACCTGAAGAACCATCTTGTTTTCTTCTTGGCTTTTTAATGTATTACTGAAATTTTTGACAAAATTTTTGAGCCATCGAAATCTTTTCTACGAAAATGTAACAATTGAAAAGCTAATTAAGATTTATTTTCTTCTTTTCCATTATGGAGTAATTGAGATTTGGCGGAATATATCTCAAAATTTTGGGATGTGCGGCGATTTTCACCTTAAGATTAGATGGCCTTTTCATTTTAACCAAATCGCTCAAAATTTTAGAACGTAAAGAAGCCACCAACATCGAAAGAAAAGATTGAATACATGCGAAAGCAATCACGGTTATAAGAATCCCAAACTACTGTGGACGATGAAGGAAAAAAGAAAAACATAAAATCAACAATCTTTATTTTTTAAAAGAAAATACAAAACATAATTTTTAATATATTGGGTAAGAATCATTGATCGTGCATGATACAATTTTTTGAGCTTTGGTAACTAGTCAGCATATATGGTTGTATATGTTATGATGGATGATTTATATAATGTACATCTACATGTCACTTTTAATTATTTCATGATCACAATAGGACCTGGACTGCCAAATGAACAGTAGAAGATTGAATATCCTTGCATACCTAATGCGAGAATGAATATTGGAATATCATAGAAAAGGCATGAAAAACCACGTCATAAGTTGAACGTTGAAATTAAGCTGATTAATTGCCTAGATTCTCTTAATGAACTATAAATTCAACAAAGCCAAATATCTGTTAGCTAACCCTTGAACTTTTTTTTCACCAAACGATAAATCTTTTTTTTTTTTTGGTTTGCGAACACTTACATATATAAATATAGTCAATGAAGCAATTGCATGGAACTTATAGTAACCGATGGGGTGGAAGAACCTTGAGCTTTAAGCATTCGATCAGCGCTTGAGTTATGATCTTCACCAGCATTGTTTCTCAAAGGGACAAGCAAGTCAGAGAGTATGATCTGAAGAGAAGAAACTTTCTCTTTGAGCTGAGAATTCTCCTGGAGAATCTGCTGATTACAATCCAGCAACTGAATGAGCTTCTCCGAGAGCTGTCGATTCGTCGTCTGGAGCTGGCCCACCAGGTACTGAAGCTCTTCTATCTGCATTTTCCTTCTCATTCGCGACCGGCGAGCTGATTCTCTATTTGATATCATCCTCTTCAACCTCCTTTCATTGTTGACCACAACGCCAACGCCCACTTCTCGGCCCCGACCAATCTCTCTCGAGTCATCCGTGGTGGAGTCATCATTTCCGGGGGACATGGAAAGGTTGTTTGGGAAGAGCCTGGCAGCGGTACTGATGGCAAATGGGAGGATGGGGTCTGAAATGTTACTACTCTGAGAATTAGGGTTTTGTTGGGAGAGAGAATAGTGCCCTAGATTGACCAATTCTAATGCATGCTTGTTAATTGTGCCCGGATAGTATTGGGGTTGTTTTTGTGTGAGAGAAGCTTTCAATTCATTATTTTTTTCCATAGCTTTGAGAAAAAAATAATCAATTTAGGTTTGATATATAGAATAAGAGGCAAAGAGAGATTATATAGTAAAATTATCTTAGTGTTAATGTTGGTATTAATCTTGGTATTAATGAGCATTATGTTTTTAGTTAGTTTTAGGTGAGAGTGCCTAGGTTGGATTCCACGTATGGTTTGCCGGAGCATAAACGAGTATGTTTTGTGTAAGTAAGTGATTATGGTGGGGAATTAATTTAGACAAAGACGCTAATTTAAACATTTTAAATACCTTTTGTCATCTCGTGTGTGCATTGTGTGTGTGTAATTATACATATTATACAACTATATATAGTCTACATTTTTTAATGAGCAAAGCTGCTAGTTATGCTTTTTCTATATGTAGTGTAATGGATCGATATTTTCGGTGAAAACAATATATATACCTCATGCCTGCATTAAGCAAGATCACGATATCATAAAGACCTATGAAAAATTCCATTACAAATACTAGAATTTAATAGATCAAAACCAGATCAAAAAACTATGGTTCCATTACCTAAATGATCAATAATTAGAATGCATTAATTAGTGGGATAGAAAATGAACACCAGATCCAATTAGTTTGTTAGAGATTTAGGATTCATGAAGAGAATTAAACATTAGATAAATTAAGAGAGGAGGGCTAGTATGGTCTCGAATACTATATATGTGCCCTTAGAAAGAGAAATATCATGAAAATCAAAAAGATCATTTTAATTAGAATAATTTCATAAATACCTCTTGAATTATATATTCTAGTTCAACATCCCTCCTTAATTTTAAAAAGAGTTCATTTCACCCTTTGAACTATATAAAATCATTCGAAATATCCATCCCTTCTCTCTCCTTCTGTATATATAATACTATCAAATGCTACTATTGCACTACTTATAATTTCATAAACTCTCTTTAAATATTAATTTTAAGTCAACTTGCTTCAAACTATTGATTTTGTGTCAACTTGTCCCCCAATTTAAAAGGGGGGCAAGTTGACAAAAATTAATAGTTCAAGAGGCATGATGAAATTGTTGGTAGCCGAATCGAATTCGGATGTAGAAGCGTGGCGGGGAAGCGGATCAAGTATAACAAAAATTTTCACAAAACTTTTGAGATACTCTATAGATTATATTAATTTATGCACGAATAAATTAATCACATTAATTTATATATCAAGAACTCAATTAGGAAAAATACCTGGACGCCGACTCGGATGATAAGTTGAGTTCTTTGACCACGAACAATCCTTGCTCCAATCTTTGTGTTTACAAAACCAAAATCTTCCACGTCAATTTCTTGATTCCACGTAGACGTGTGTGTGGGCACACGTGAGACAAAAACAGGTTTGATTAAACACTCGAATTTTCCACAAACACCAACGCATGCACGATGTGGAATTTTTTGGAGAAAAATTTTCCTTCTCTTGCTCTTAGGAAAATTCGGCCAGCCCTTTATTAATTAGGTTAAAAAATTTCGTCTCGCGTAATTTTTCATCATCCCTTATTTACAGAGTAGAAGTCCAACTTCTAGAATGAGTCAAATCTCTCTCTCCTGTTTGAATTTTGAATAAAAAATTCTCCTCTACCTTATCTATTGTCGCCGGCCATATTAGGGATTCCTATCCCTGTGTGTGGCGCCAAATTACGGATAGGGAAGGAAGAGAAAATCATCCTTTATCCTGTAGTCCAATTTTAATTCAAATTCAAATTCAAATTTAGGTCAAACTTAAATTAATTTGAATTCTAAATTGAACAACTTATGAAAAAAGGTTAAAAGGATAAATTTAAATTATGTTCATGATTCAAATTTAAAATTTAAATAATCACATTATTTAAATAATAATTAATTCTCAATTAATTATTTTTTGAGTATTTAATTTTAGAATTCCATAATTCCAAAATTTCCATTTTGTCCTTTGTGTCTGGTAGAATTACAAGGACGACGCGGGGACTTATAGACCTATAATCCCGAGCTCCAATAAAATTAATAATTAATTAAACACTTTAATTAATTAATTAATTCTATTATCTCTAATGGATAGTGATTCATAAAACACATTCATGAACCAAAGCGCTCTAACTAATCCAAGTACCGAATCAATACTTAAGAGAATTATTTATCTACTTCTTTCTCAAGAAGGAATGGATTCCATCTCGTATAATAACATTCCCAGCTACCTATTTCATCATGTCTCCAAAATACAAGGAATATGATTCAGAGTCTCAGAATCCGTACCGAGTAAATCAAAAGACACAAATCCATAAATAGGAGCTTGTTAAGAACTTAGGATTAAGATCATTCTATATATGATCATCGGTAGACTCAATTAGAATTACTATGCTTAACAGAAATTATTAGAAATTCATATTGTGTCTGCGTCCCTGTTTCACATAATCTCATTATGCGAAATACACTCATTCAATATCTCACCATATTAACAGTGCGGATAGCACCGTTCCATTCTAAATGGGAATGACATGTATTAATAATGTTTTAATTAAAGATCTTGAACTTTAATTAAATTCATTATGAACAACGTTATTGATTATTATCCTTAAACATTGTCCTCTCGTATATAATACTTATATACAATGTTTAAGGTTACATAAATAATGACAAAATTTTCATTTGATATTCATAAAATATTCATAAATATATGCACATAAAATGATGAATAACTCTTTTATTAATTAAATAATAAATATCCTATTACATCTTATGCTTCTAAGACACTATTCCCAACAATCTCCCACTTGTCCTAAAGCAGGTGTGTCATGTCTTTAATCCTAAGTCCATCTAAGTGCCGATCAAATACATTCAATGGCAATGTCTTGGTGAACAGGTCAGCAAGGTTGTTCTCTTACGCAATCTTCAAAACCGCTACATCGCCTATATCCACAATGTCTCTGATCAGGTGATATTTCCTTTCTCTATGTTTCGCACTCTTTTGGCTTCTAGGTTCCTTTGAATTAACCACCGCTCTATTGTTGTCACAGTAGAGCTTAATTGGCTTATCCATATCTGGATCTACTTCCAGATCAGTTAAGAACTTCTTGAGCCATGTAACTTCTTTTGTAGCTTCACAAGCTTCAACATATTCAGCTTCCATGGTAGAGTCAGCAACACACTTTTGTTTTACACTTCTCCATACCACGGCTCTTCCATTAAGAGTGAACACAGATCCAGATGTCGACCGTCGACTATCTCTATCCGATTGGAAATCAAAATCCGTGTATCCAGTGAGAGACAAATCTACTCCGGAACATACCAATATATAGTTTCTCGTTCTCCTATGATACTTGAGAATACACTTTACTGCAACCCAACGATCTAATCCTGGGTTGGACTAGTAGAGACTGACCACTCCCACTGCATAGTAGATATCTGGTCTTGTACACAACATGGCATACATAAGGCTTCTCACGACCGAAGCATAGGGATACCATCTCATATCTTTTTCCTATTGTGGGGTCTTTGGACATTGCTCCTTAGAAAGATGAATACCATGCCTAGAAGGCAAATTCCCTTTCTTGGAGTTTTGCATCGAGTACCTAGACAACACTTTGTCTATATAAGATGCCTGTCACAATGCCAAAAGCTTTTTGTTGCGATCTCGAATAATCTTAATCCCAAGAACATAGCTTGCCTCTCCCAAATCTTTCATTTGGAATTGGTTGGCTAACCACTCCTTTACATCTGTCATCAATCCCACATCATTCCTAATGAGTAGGATGTCATCGACGTAAAGAATTAAGAAGACCACTTTCTCTTATTTCTTGTACTTGTAGAATCATGGTTCATCAATGTTTTGATCAAATCCATAAGACTTTATAGCCTCATCAAACCTGATGTTTCATGATCTAGAAGCCTGCTTCAGTCCATAAATGGACCTCTGCAGTTTGCAGACTTTCTGCCTTTGGCCTTCCTCTATGTAACCCTCTAGCTGATCCATATAGATGGTTCCCTCAAGATAGCCCGTCAAAAAAGCTGTCTTCACATCCATCTGCCATATCTCATAGTCAAAATATGTTGTAATGGCCAGGAGGATCCGGATGGACTTAAGCATAGCTACTGGCGAGAAAGGTTTCTCATAGTCAACTCCCTCATTTTGGGGGTAACCCTTAGCCACTAGCCTTGCTTTATAAGTCTCTACTTTTCCATCCGCTCATCTCTTTCTCTTGAAGATCCACTTGCATCCAATGGGTTTTACCTCTTCGGGTAGATCTACAAGTTGCTAGACTGAGTTAGAGTGCATAGACTCCATTTTGAGTTTCATAGCTACTTACCATTCTTCCTTATCAGAATCATCCATCGCATCCTTAAAGGTCGATGGATCCTCCTTACCGTCATCAGCAGTGACGATTTGGACTTCTCTGGTATACTGGTCGGGTAACATGCTTACCCTCCCACTACGACGAAAGGCCCTACGAGTCTGATCAGGAACTGTGGTCTTTTCTCTGAGTGGTCCGACAACTCTTGTCAGTTGTGGTCCGGTCTCATCGGAAAGTAACTCTTCCAATACTATTTTACTTCTGGGCTTAAAATCTATCATATAGTCATGCTCCAGAAAAGTGGCATTTGTCGATACAAACACTTTTTGATCTTTAGGACTATAAAAGAAACCTCCTTTCGTCCCATCAGGATATCTTACAAACATAGACACTTCTGACTTGGGTTCCAACTTCCTAGTCTTTCCTTTCAGCACATGTGCTGGACACCCCCGTATACGCACGTGTCTCAAACTAGGTTTTCGACCGCACCACAACTCTAGGG